ATAAAAGCCGAAAAACGGGTCCGGCATCCCTCACATCATAGAAAAGGTTCAACACACCCAGGCACATCTCCTGTTCCATTAACCCTAATCTAATGTGCGAGTTCTCCCTAATCTATCAGTATTCAATCCTACGTCCTCCTTGCAGAGACTTTGCGTTTTGGCTTCCATCTAGCAAATCCTTTTTTTATATCTTGCTTTCATCAATTCATGGGAAAAGTTATAAACTCCCCCCGCAATGAAGCGCACAAATCCGGGTGCGACACGGACAACAACTGTTGCGCTTTGCCAGCTTTTTTTTTTTTTTTTTAAAGGGCGATGGCCTTGAGGTATTATCATCGGACTAACCAGCCCAGGTAAATTCAATCTTGTGTCTAATCTGACAACGGTGGCCTTTTCAGCCCAGGGTGGCCTGATAGCCTTAGGGTGGCCGGATAGCCTTCAGGGAACCCCCAACGGTGGACACCGGCCAGGGGACAGCCGGTGGCAGAGGGACCGAGCATCATCTGAGTGGCCAGTCGCTGTGCCTCCCCGATTACCCCTCCCCCTATGAACAATAGCAGTGCCTCTTTTTAATGCCAATTGGGGGAACCAACACTCACGTCGTCTGCGGTTTAAAAATTTTCCCTAAGTCGGCAGTCTCTGCTAAGAAAAAAAAAAAAAAAAAAACTTTTCCCTAAATTTATCCCCCCCCGGGCCATGTGACACAGTGGAGCGCACAAATCCGGGCGCGACACGGACCCCACAATTGTTGCGCTTCGCCCGCTTCATCACTCGTGTCTTCTGCGGTGGAAATTGCATAAACCACCGCAGAGATTTGCTGAAGTGAGAAGCATTTGGGCGGACTCAAAGGAGAACATTTTGCAATGCACCTGGCCTCGAATATGCACAAAATACTTCCAAAGAAGTGCTGATTGTGAGCATGTCCTTAGGGTCTGACTTTTCGGTTACTCGCACCGTGGGCAGTGTAAAGTTTCGCACTGCAGTGGTCGACCTCCCGTTGCGTCTGACGTGTGACGACTGCTGTGCTCGCTTTCATTATTATTATATTATATTATTGTTCTTTTGCATTTTCGGAAGGCTCGCCGCAAGCGGTATTGAGCACTGCGTCCCTTAGGGCCTCGCCACACCACTGTCGAAACGAAAAATGTTCAAATGCATGTTCCCACAGAAAGTGGCACGATGCATCCCTTCCTATGAATAGCAACAGATGCATCTGCCCAAATTTCCGGGAAGATGCACTAGTGCTTTTCTCGTTTCGACAGTGGTGTGGCGAGGCCCTTAAAAAAGATAGAGATAGAACACAAAATGCGTTCTGGAATGCAAAAGAATAAATAAACAGTAGTCGTGACACGTCAGACGGAATGGTACGGGCCGCTGCGCGCACAAAGCCCTGCATCGGAAACGAATGAACAAAAAAGAACTCCTTCCCGCCAGGCTCTCTTGTCCCCTCAAACGAAAAAGGAAAACGAATCGAGAACAAATCTAAAACAAATCTAAAACAAATCGCGGGCGCTTGCATGAGCGCGCCATGCCCTCGAAGCGTGAGCGCCAACCGTCCACTTGTAGATCAGACAGCGGTTCGTAGGCAACATGTCCGTAAGAGCTCCGTAGGTTGACCAGTCCCGTTCGACGGCTTACGTGAGAGTCTGGTTTCTTTTTTTTTTTTTTTTTTTTTTTTTTTAAAGGGCGATGGCCTTAAGGTATTATCATCGGACTAACCAGCCGAGGTAAATTCAATATTGTGTCTCATCTGACATCGGGTGGCCTTTTCAGAGCGCGCTTTTTGTTTTTTCCCCTCTTTTCTGTGTATACGTGTCATGCTTGCGCAGGCGCGATCCCAATCAAGAACATAATGATTATGGAGTACCAAAAAAAAAAAAAAAAAAAAAAAAAGAAGGAATATTATCAAGCGCGCATTGCAGAACACAACGGTATTTTTTCCCCGCCTTAAGTTTGAGAGTACGTGGCGCGCAACTACGGTAGTCCGCAGCAGGGTTTTCGGACTCGTAGAATATCGTGCAATGAATGTGACGACGAAATAGGTCACATACGTCAGCGACGGCCGGGTGTTGAGAGTATCTTTAGGCGCCTTTCCGCGTCAGAGTACGTGGCGTGCATATAGTTCGCAGCAGGACTTTCCGACTCGCAGAATAACGTGCAATGAATGTGCCGGGGAAAGAGGTCACATAGCTAGGCGACAACCTGACGTGAGAATGCGCCAGTGCGTGATGGCGTGAGGCATACGTCACGCGCACGGTCAGGTCCGCATTTTCTTCGAGCGCGCGCAAATGTGCTGGCGCAGGCAAAGGCGGCGGCTGATTTGGGATGTTTTCCGCATTGTACAGGCGCGCGCAAGTTGGGGTTCATTGCACAGGCGCGCGCAAGTTGGGGTTCATTGCACAGGCGCGCGGCCCGTGCAAGTCGGGGTGCATCCGCATTGCACATGCGCGCGCAAGTTGGGATGTTTTCCGCATCGCAAAGGCGCGCGCACGCGCAGCCGCCGACGGAACTTTTGCACGCGCTAATGCAGCTGCACCGAGGGACAACGCACAACCGAGAGTCCCCCAATACCACACATGCACTCTGATTTCGCAGGCTAGCCAAACGAGTTCTCGATCAACGCGGTAAACTATATACAAGCGTGACTTCTGCGTGAGGTTTGTATGGATGCATTCATTCACGGTAGTTGCACGATGGAATAGCATATTAGTATCACTTTTGCCATTTCCCGCCGCTACCGATCGACGATCGTGCTACTGGAAAGTTCGATGAGTCAGTAGAACTTCGCTGTCGGTTGCTTTTTCTGGAGAGGCACATATCGACCCTATTTCTGTCACCGCTCAACGCTGGCAATCTCCTTCGATTCGATGGCCTTTGTATATTTGCACGCAGAAGTGAGAAAGTCATGTTAGAGGATGCCTGGTCCTTGTGACTGCGCTCATAAACTAAACTGGGTCGATTACGCTTATGCTGATCGGAAGCGCCGGCTAACGTCGTCTGTCTATCGTTCTCCACCGCGATTCTCTGTCCTCGATAATCACGGCGAGCGAGCTCCTCCGACATCATCTTGGCTTCCTCTTTGCTTTCCCGCTCTCAGCTCTCCGCTAGCAATTGCGATTCACTAACGTGATTCTCTGTCCTCCACAGCCGCCGCGAAGCCGTCCATCGTTGCATTCCTCTTTCAAGTTGCTTTCCCGCTCTCCACGGTGAAAAGTCATTCGTTAATCTGATTCTCTGTCCTTCATAGCCGCTGGAAAGTCGGCTATCATCTTGTCTTCTTCCTTGCTCTCACGCTCTCCTATCGCGATAACGTCCACTTTACCCGGTGACATCTTCGCTCCTCTAAGCGCTCTTCTTCAGCAGACGACTCCATCGTGTGTCGCTCTCAAAGACGTTCCGCTCGTCATTCCCGAGGACATAATGGTGCAGCTCCTTCGGGATTCACCATGTTATTGTTGAGGCGCATATCTTTTTGAGTTGCTCTGTGTTGATGTGTAACATGTGTTGAGTCAGAAAGTAGGTTTTGGAAATTTGGATCACTCAGTTCTGCAAGGAATCAGTGTCGTGATCCTCTTTCCGACTTCTTTGCATTGAGTAGAAGGTGCGTGCATGCCTTAGATCGCGGCCGCTCATCGCGCCATTACCACTGGAGGTAATCGACGGCGCCGACGTAAGCACCGACAAGAAGCCGAAGGCATCTAGTAAACCAATCCTGCGGCAGCGACAGCGGCAGCAGCAGTACGCTCTTTCTGGAGAGACAAGTAAGCAAAACGGGGGGTGGGGAGTATCACCGTTCGGGAGGAGCCAGCAGTATACGAGACGAAGGGAGGGAATCCTTCACGACAAGACCGATGGTTTTCGTCGATGAACAGGCAGAGGCGTCATTCTCTACTATGCCTCCAGCGGCCAGATCCAGATCTGAGATGGCTGCGCTCCATGAAGCTGGCGCAGATTCGCATGGTATTCTTCATAGGATGGCTCGTGAAGGCAACATGGAAGAAGATGAACTTCTTCGCATGTTCCGAAGAATGCTTCGTGTAGACGAGGACCCGTCTCCTCCTCCGCGTTTTCGTCCTTCTGCACCTCTAGAACCTTCTCCAGCAGTTTCTGGGTCCTCTCCCCCAACGCATCCTCCTCCTCCCCCGCCACATCCTTCTCCGCCCCCTCCACATCCATGTCCTCCTCCATCGCCGAAGCCTTCTCCTGCAATTCCTCATCCTCCACCTCCTCCTCCTTGTCCTACACAACCTTCTCCTCCGCCCTCATGTCCTCCCGGTCCACATCCTCCCCCTCCTCCCCCTCCTCCCCCTCCTCCACATCCATGTCCTCCTGCCCCCCATCCTCTCCCTCCTCCTCCCACCCCATGTCCTTCTGGTCCGCATCCTCTCCCTCCTACACCTCCATGTCCTCCTTCTCCCTATCCTCCACCCCCATGTCCTCCCCCTCC